AGTTCACGAATGAATGAAATTGAATTGATTGAAATTTAAAATTTCATGGCATACTTTGAACAAATAAAGTCAAAATTTTATTAAATTCAATTCCAGTTTTTTTTTTTTTCAATCGGGTTATTTATGGAGCTAAAATTTTAATGTCACACTCAAGCGAATAGTTACGAATGAATGAAATTAAATTGGTTGAAACAAAAGCAAGTGATATTTCAAATTTCATGGCATACTTTGATCTAAAAAAAAAAAGTTATTAAATTAAATTCAGTTTGCCAGTGTTGACAAGTGCATGTTTCAGCAGTGTTTCTCAAACTTATTGCACCCTAATACCAAATTGAATTTTTTTCCAACTACCCAATCGATTTGGTTTATTTGTCAATTATTTATTTATTTATTGTGTACTCTATGAATCTGTGAAAATTTGAGATTGATTTCTGCAAGTAAACATTTTTGCTGGTTATTTACGATTTCATTAAATAATTTTTAACCGACAAGAACCTTACCTTAGCTGTCTGAAGAAGTCAATTTTCTTTCGATGCTCAGTCACCAGTTCCATGTTGAGATGATCATCCATGAATTTGAATGGGCTCGAGGTTATGCTGTAAAATGGATTAACTTGTCGGCGGCAAAAGTCCGGATCTGGCGAGGTTTCTACGGGCACACATTTTCGAAATTTAGAGCCAAGGCCTGTCCAGCTGTAGTCCTTGGAATAGCTGGAAACAAGAGGATCCTTATCTTGCGGCACAAACGTCTCATCTGCTGAATATCTGCAAGAGACAGGAGTACACTGATAAATAGGAATCTATTAAACTGAATCTTCCACTTACTGATTCGACTTGAATCTTTGTTTCTTTGCACCGCTTTCCAGGGCATCCTGTGTTGTGGTTTTCAGACCAGCCATGCAGTCATTCGCCTCACTATAAAACACGCTCGATTTCTGCTGGTGCGGCATAATTTTGAGTAAATCCAATTGTGGTAACAATAAAAGGAAAGCCTATAATATATGTATATTTTTTACTTATATAAAGGATAAGTATATTTTTTCGAAATATTTAAACATTTTTTATATGTTTTTCTAGGTCGTTTGAAAATAACTGTTAGCGTCAAAATCAATTCTCATAATTCTAAGAATTCCAATTAAATGGTTTTATTTACCAGAATATGAGGACTTACGGTATATTTTGAAACTGAGAATGTATATTTTGGTATATTTTTGAGGGCCATGCGGTATATTTGATCGATAAATCCACGGTCACATTGAAAGCGGCATTTGTTCGAAATTAACTGTACGTACGCAATGCAAAAAAAGGAACAATTGTTCTAAAATCTAGAAGTTACATTGTAAAGTGTCATTATATGTGAATTGTCAATTGAGTTGTGAATGTTTGAATGTAATACGAACTTAAAGTAAGCCCGAGAATGTCTGCGAAGAGTTCAATTCAGGTGTGCATCAAGGTGCGCCCCTGCGAGGCCGGCGATTCCTCTGTGTGGGAAGTAAAGGAAGGCCGCTCCATACATCTTATTGACAGCCAAGCCGATCCGTGCGTCTTCGGTGAGTGTGGAAATCATTGAGAAAATGCATTATCATCAAGTTCCCTACGTGGGTGTCTTATTTGCAGACTATGTATTCGACCAGACTGCACACAATCAGGAGGTATTTGACCGCATGGCCAAGCATATCGTCCATGCATGCATGCAGGGCTTCAACGGAACTATTTTTGCCTATGGCCAGACGTCATCAGGTATTTATACATCGCTGCATATGCCTCGAACTCACTCACACACATACAAATTCCCTTCAGGCAAAACCTACACAATGATGGGAGACAACCAGAACCTCGGTGTTATGGTACTGGCCGCAAAGGAAATATTTAAGCAAATAGCCAACGAAAACGATCGCGACTTTCTGCTGCGAGTGGGCTATATTGAGATCTATAACGAGAAGATCTATGATCTTTTAAACAAAAAGAACCAGGATCTGAAGATACACGAGGCAGGGAATGGCATCGTGAACGTGAACTGCGAGGAATGTATTATAACGAGCGAATCGGATCTGTTGCGCTTCCTTTGCATGGGAAACAAGGAGCGCACAGTGGGCGAAACCAATATGAACGAGCGTTCCAGTCGCTCCCATGCCATCTTTCGTATCGTGAGTCTAAAAGATAAACTGATATTTTGCTGCCCTGATCTCAGATTTTGTCTTTGCATTTGCAGATCATTGAGTCGCGCAAGAGCGATCGCACTGACGACGATGCCGTCATTCAGAGCGTCCTGAATTTGGTAGACTTGGCCGGTTCGGAGCGGGCAGATCAGACGGGTGCGCGCGGTGCTCGCCTCAAGGAGGGCGGCCACATCAACAAGAGTCTGCTGTTCCTCAGCAATGTGATCAAGAATCTGTCTGAAAACGTTGACAACAAGTACATAAGCTTCCGCGACTCCAAGTTGACGCGAATACTGCAGGCCTCGCTGGGCGGCAACGCCTTTACGTCCATAATATGCACCATCAAACCCTCGATCATCGAGGAGTCGCAGTCGACCATAAATTTCGCCATGCGTGCCAAGAAGATCCGCATCAAGCCCGAGGTCAACGAGATGGTGTCTGATGCCACAATGATGAAGCGACTGGAGCGTGAGATTAAGGAGCTGAAGGACCGTCTGGCCGAGGAGCAGCGCAAGAACGAGAGCCAGCTCAAGGTGAAGCAGCTTGAGAACCGCATTCAGAACGACATGCACAAGATCATTACTAGCAACTCGCTGAACGACAAGCGGCTGCAGAAGCGTCGCCGCACCTGGTGTCCTGCCACCTCCATACCAGAGGGTGGCCTGCCCACACCGCTGCCCTGCATTCCAGCCGAGCCCAGCCTGGAGCGGCAATCGAAGGTGTCACAGCTGCCAAAGCCCGTTTTCTTTCCCACCTCTCACATCAGCCACCGCGCCGACAACGGTCCCAAGACTGTAAATATAATGAAGTCGCTAGACATTGGCACGGATGAGGAGTTCTCGCCAGCGGAATTTATAGACTTTGGTTGCGGGCCATCGGATGCACTGAGGACGAGAGAGCAAAGCAGGGTGCTGCCAGCGCTGGCTCTAACGCCCAACATTGGGCAGATGGGAGTGGCAAGGTAAGTAGATTTAAATTGTTTCCCCAATGCACAACCACAACATCACCCAGCATGCACACACACAAATACACACACTCACACACACACCTAACACTCTTATTCATCATCGCATGGGTCCATACTCTTTTGGTTAGCTTGGTGGAGAAAACGAAAAACGATCGCTTGGAGCTGCAAATGTTCACCTCGTTAGAGAAGCACTTTGAAGGGGACTGGGAAAATTCGCAGGCTCTGACAGCGAAGCTGTCCGAGGTCACAGCCCAGCGGGATGAGCTAGAGTCAGAGAGCCAAAAGAATGCACAGCGGTGAGTCCCACAGGATTGAAATTAGATTACATTGGGAAGGGGCTTGCCATACACACAAAATCAGGATAAATCAAAAATTCGTTTCCTAAATATTAACAACACACATTCCTAAATGCAACCAAAAGTCTAGTCGAGTGAATTATAGCAACGTTCCACTGTCTGTTTTAGATGCGATGAGCTGCAGGCCGAGCTACAGGCAGCCAATGCCAAGAACTTGGAGTACGAGGAGAAACTGCAGACCATGAAGGAGAAGTTGGAGTTTTATAATCGTGAGGCTGTTAGCTTGGAGTTCGAATATGAGTCCCACAAAACCAAGTCAAAGCTGCGAGAGACGGATCTTCTGTCGGCCCTGTCCGAGAAGGATTTAACCATTGAAAATCTGCAGAAAAGTCTCGACGAATTGTCTCGCGATGTCCTGCGCAACAGCAAGGAGGAACGGATGCGCTCCCCCATAGTGGATACATCGATGCCCGAGATAATCTGCGACAAGTGTGTGGAATTTGAACGTCTGCTGGCCGATGATGCCAACGCAAAGCTGGAGAGCATTCAACTGTCCTTTAGCCAGAAGGCAGAGGACAGCCACATTACCATTTCCAGTATCCTTTATCTTTATTTCAGTCTGCCGCTTTTTAATCAGATCGGTTATGATTAATTGTTAATTTCTATGAACTGAAGACGCAGCAGAAAGCTGCGTTGCTTGTCTTTGCGTATCGTCTCAAATATTTCCTTTGTTGCCAGCTCTATTACCCCTGGGTTCTGGTCATCGCCCAGCATTGTATGGGTTTTGCCTAAGTGAAGTTCCGAAACTTTAATTCCTGCGAGGCTACATTGATGGGCATTTAGCATACCTGATGATGTGCCACCGTATGTAATTAGTGTTCCATTGTTTCCTGATATCACTTTGTGCACAATGGGCTTGGCCATGCAATTGAAAATATGCGAGTTTGTGGCCTCATGGTCGAACACAAAGTCTTCAA